TCTCGCCGGCTCCCTGCGCAGGGGCGCGTCTCCCAGGGGTCCGGAAGGACGCGCTGGGAGGCGCCAGTGCCCGCCGGCCCTGAAACCCGGAGGACTTTGTCAGTCTCCCCTTTACTTATGGGCAGCCGCGCTCTGCGCTCTCAGGACCGTCGCTCGCCTTTGAACCTCGCCGGTCCCTGTTATTACCCAGGCTCTGACGAGGCTGGTGTTCCTCCACCGCCGGGGCCGCAGGACAATACTTTCCCCGCAGCGGTTCGCGCCGACCTGCTTCTCTGCACGCTCTTCCCACCGCGCAGCCTCCGCGGAGGCCCGAGGAGCCTGGCAGAGCTGCGCGGTGGGATGGGGGCCTGGGACCGTGATGTCCCGCACTGTAGCTAGGGGCGTCCAGGCAGATAGCGACTAAGCAGCTCCGAAGGACTCAGGGGCTACAGCCTGATTTCTGATCTCTGAGAACAGTGATTTTTTTTTGTTTCGCCAAGACTCTCAGACTTGAAATCAACTTCCCAAATGGGCAGAGCAAAAGCGCTGCTGGGACCACAGAGAACTTACCTGGTTCAAATCCAGGGGCCACACATAAGAGCTGGGTGGTCTCGGACGATGCCTCCATCTGTAGACGCTTAGAGCCCGTCTGGCAACTGCAAGCGCTTATGGATCAGTGTGGTGTGGACCCAGGCGATGGGAACTTGGCCTAGGGTTGGTAAACCGAGAACGCACCTTATCTGGGTTACTCGCTCCCTTTCTTTCTATATGTTCTCAAGGTCCACACAAATATCTTTTCAAGCTATGGGGGATTTTTGGAGTTCAGAATTATTTCCTCAGAACCATTAGGCCCCTTCCTCATAACTTTACTTTTTCAGTTAATTCTACTACTGGATCCTTTCCTGAGTAAACACGGACGCCCCAAATCGGCCCCTATTTAAAAACTATTTCACAAGGATTTATTTTTCCAATCCCACCCTCCACTCAACCTGCTTATCATTCTCCTGCACGACCGGGTGGAGTTGCAAACCCCTTGCAGATAAACCTCCAAATCTACTTCCTTTGTTGAACAGTTACATTTAAACTGTCAAGGTTCTGGTCTGCCTTTCTCCAGTTACAAGCACCCACCTCCCTTCCTTCCCACCTCCCATTTCTGTCTGTTTAAATATTTTGCTCTCACAGTTACCAGGTTTCAGTACTCCTTATTCCGGAGACTGCTAGAAGTTTAACAATCAGAATGGCCAGCCACTTCCCTGCCAAGACAGATTAATAGCCTGGGTGCGCGGAGGGGCTGGAAATGTAAACAGCCCTGCACAGTTCAGTCTGCTAACAACTGGAAATGGTCAATGAAATGCAGATTATCTACCAAGACCCTGCCACAGAATCACCACGATTTCCCTTCCTTCCAAGCCTTGCTCAAACACAATGATCTAATCTAGAGTTCCTGGATAGTTCTCAAAAATAGTGAGCACTTGCAAAACTAGGTTAATCAGAAGGTAAAGCAACCTGCTGCTTTAAAGAGAAAGAGGAGGAGGAAAGGATGGCCTATGGGGGGAGGGGGAGAGAGGAAGATGCACCACATGAAGATGAAACTTTTTAAGATGAGTAAGCAGGAAACTGTTAGTTGTAAAGCCACAGCAGAACTGAGTTAATTATACCACTCTGCAAATATCTTTAAGTTGATTAAGTTTTGGTGGTAAATAGAAAATGTTTGAAAGGGAATTTTCAAAAAATAAAGGGGAAAGTCACCATTAATCTTGAAGTGAAGAAAACAACAGGGTCCAGGATAAAAGGAAATAAGTAAGCGGGAAAAAAGAATAAGTACTGCACAGTATTTTTTTTTTTTTTTTTTTAGGAAGGACTAAACACATTTTGTCTCCCTTAGAGTAAGAGGGAGTGGTCATAAGACAAGGTTTTTCACTATTGAAACCACTGTGACCTTACCTACCTAGGAATCAACTTTCTCCAGGGGTATTCAAAACCCTGTCTATATAAATGCTGGAATGACTAAAGAGGTTAGTCTGGGTTATAAACACCTGTTTCACCTCTCAGTTATATTTAGGGAACATTGACTAACATGTCATTACAAAGTTAGGATCTAAGTGGGTGACTTCATATATTGCCAATGAATAATCCCATCGTGTGGGAAACAGGAACACTAACAGAACTGAGACCCTGTATAGATTTCTGTGCAGTTAGAAGCAAATGATTGACTAGATGTGGTGGCACATGCCTGTAATCCCAGTGACCCAGGAGGCTGAGGCAGGAGTATTAAAAGTTAAGGGCCAGTCTTAGCAATTTAGTAAGGCCCTGAGCAACTTAGTGAGACTCTGTCTCAAAATAAATAACAAAAAGGGCTGGAGGTGTACCTCAGTGGGAAAGCAGCCTTGGGTTCAATCCTCAGTACAAGGAAAAAAAAAAAAAAAAGCAAGCAATTATATTAGGGTTTGTTTTTTATTTATTTATTTTTGCAATTCTACCCCTGCTTGCAATTAATAACCATCTAATTCCCAGGCTTTGATGAATATATATATATATATATATACACACACACACAGACAGACATGAGATTTTAGAGTAGACAGGATTTTCATAATTGTTAAAAGGGGACCCTGATGTCCTACTACTTATTAGATATGAGGCCTTTCGCAAATTACTTAGATTCTCTGAGCTTTGATTTTTCTCACTCATAAAATGGGGACCTCATAGGTTAGAGTGAAATGCAGGAGCTAGGGGCGAGCGTGTGCCCTGGTACTTTGCAAACTGTAGAGAGCTGTGCTGCTTCCGCCCTCAACCTCCGCCTCTTCTAATGGCAACAATGCTACTTACTTCAAAGGTTATTGTAAAGATTAAAAAAAAAAAAAAAAAAGTGTGAAATGCTTAGTAGGTAAGCACATGAGTAGGACTCCCTTTCCTCTGCTTTCATTTTTACTGTTATACCAAGGAAAGCAGTTCTTGAACATTTCTGCTGCAGCAAGACCCCCATGACCTGCAACTAATGGCCCATGATAAAGGACTGCTCTGAATGAAATTCTCAGCATTAAAAAAAAAAAAAAAAGCTCCGGGGCTGGGGCTCTAGCTCAGTGATAGAGCGCCTGCCGCGCATGTGTGAGGCTCTGGGTTCAACTCCTTAACACCACATAAAAATAAATAAATAAAGATATTATGTCCATATATATATATATATATCTCCCATCCATTATTAGCTTAAAATCTCCCATTTCTTTAAGACTCAAAGCTACAGATGTGCCTCGGTTTATGATAGGGTTACATCCCAATAAGCCCATTTTAAGTCAAAACTCTTGCAAATCAGAAATGTACTTAACACTTCAATAAACCCATCATAACACTAAAAATTTCCACCATAGCATGCTGGGACCATCTGTACTAAGAAACCAAGAAAGCAGTGGAGTCAGAGAAGCTGGAGTAGGGTAAAACTAGGAATTTAGTGGTGCATACAACTTAAAAACTGTAACTAATTTTTATACCTGATCATTTACTTCCCCCTGAAGGTCTGTAAAGATATACATAAAATCAGAAAAAAACTAGCTGTCCTATGGCTGAGCAAGGTGCATGCTGTGCCACCAGGTGGAGGAGAAGCGGTTTCCAAGTTCATCTCCAACCCACAGGGTTCAAGGTATGTTGGGGCCCTTGAAAACTGACTTCCTGCCCTTCAGGAACTGGCTTTTCCAGGATTGCTTTCTGCAAAAAGATGCCCTCAAGTGCTTCTCCCACCATGCCCAAGAAATGCTTGAAAACATTAGTTGCAATCCTGCAAGATACAGTGTTTCAAGTCAAAGGAAAAAAAAAATGATATTTGTTTTCAAAATATATTGCCAGGTCCCAATTTAACCTGTTGATCCTACAGAGGTTTGGGGTCTGAAATACTCATTTTTGTTTGCTTATTATTATTATTTTTTAAATCAGGGATTGAACCCAGGGGCACTTAATCACTGAGCTATCATTCCCAGTCCTTTTTAATTTTGAATTTTGAGACAGGGTCTCACTATGTTGCCCAGATCCTCACTAAGTTGCTAAGGTTGGCCCCGAACTTGCAATCCTCCTGTCTCAACCTCCCCAGTCGCTGGGATTACAGGTATGTGTGCCACCACCCAGTTGCAATACCATCTCTTTTGATAAGAAAAACAAATGGCAATTTTACCTTATTATACTCAGGGAATAATAACCTATGAGTTACTTAAAATATTTCTGGAAATCTCCAAACTGATGCCCAATACTATCAATAGCACACTATTCAAACTACACTTTCTGTCACTAATAACAACCTTTAGTTGATCCTGCAGACCTAGAGAAAACAGAAAAAGAAAAGAACTGAACTAAGAGAGTAAGGCTCAAAGTCAAGTTCGGGAGATCAGCCTATCCTGCCCCTGTAGGCTTCAGAACCTTCAAGTTTAATGTCCCTTTGAAAATGTTGCCAGGGAAAATCAGACATAACCCGTTCTGCTACTCCACATGTCTGTTCCCAGTTACAGTATATGATTATGCAAATCATTTTCTTAAAACTCTTAAGTTACATACTTAAATATAATTGCCAAAGTAGCAGTTTTCTCAGAATTTAAAAAGTAACTGCCCCCCAAATGTTCCACATTGTCTTTGTAACCAGTTTTCAAAGACTTTGTAACCAAAGACAATTAACTAAGTTTCTATTTCTTATTCCTCTTGATTCCAAAATAATAATTGGGACAATACAGCTCTCAAATATGTGAAGGAAGATATTCATCACAAACTCCTGGGAGATACCACCAGAGTGACCCTAAAGAGGTCCCCAGGAGGCACATGTTTATAATCCCAACAGCTCAGGAAGCTGAGGCAGGAGGACTGCAAATTCAAAGTCAGCCTCAGCAACTCAGCAAGGACTTGAGCAACTTTTTGAGACCCTGTCTCAAAATAAAAAATAAAAAGGGCTGGGGATGTGGCTCAGTGTTTGAGCACCCCTGGGTTCAATCTCTGGTATTTAAAAAAATATATATATATATATATCCAAGTATAAAGAAGTAAGGAATTGCCTGGCACAGTGGTTCAGAAGATATGAAATTCAAGGCCATCCTGGGCAACTTAGCAAGATCCAGTCTCAATAATAATAATATAAAAAGATAAAATAAAAAGCATGGATTCATAATCCAATTCTAAGCCCTTGTAAAACCATTTTCTGGAAACTGAAAGACTAAAAGATAATATTTTCTACTTTGAAACTATTTTAATGTTTCATCACTATTGTATTATTGAAAGGAATTAGAACTCTACCTGCTCATTTCCTGTTTTTAGTATTACATTAAAATTTAAAACTAGAAATTCTAAAAAATGGCTCCTAATTAGATTATTTATTTATTTTGTGGCACTTGGGATTTAACCCAGGATGCGCTACTTTTAAACTAGATGTCCAGCTCTGTTTTATTTTGAGAGGGTGTCACTTAGTTGCCAACACAGGCCTTTAACTTGCCATCCTCTTAACACCAGTCTCTCAAAGTCACTGGTATTACAAGTGTGTGCCACTGTGTCAGGAGGTGCCTAACTTTAAAAGTAAGGCGGCGTGAGGCTCAGTGGTAGGGTTTTTGTTTATTTATTTGGTACCAGAGATTAAACCCAGCGGTACTGGCACTTAACCACTGAGCCACATCCCCAGACATTTTTTATATTTTATTTGGAGACAGGGTCCTGCTGAGTTGCTGAGGTTGGCTATTGAGCTCTTGATCCTCCTGTCCCAGCCTCCCAAGATGCTGGGATTACAGCCCTGTGCCACTGCTTCTGGCCAATGGTAGAGCTCCTGCCTAGGAGGCTCAAATCTCAGAATATGGAAAAATAACTATACTTAAAAATCACCTTTGCCTTTAAGGGTAGTTTCAAACAGAAGTGAGAATCACCTGTCTTTAATGTCTTCTTGCTACCTAAAAGAAATGTCACTTATTTTACATTATTGTGTCCTTTCATATTGCTGATTTTTAAATATTTTGGTGCTGGGACTTGAACCCAAGACCTGTCACATGCTAAGCATGTGCTGTACCACTGGGCTACACTCCCAGCAGCTGCTTTTAAAAATGCTTTTTGAAAGCTTCTTTAGCATTACATTTCATAACATACCAGAGTCAGACTCTGGGCTTTCCCTTTTTTAAAAAGTAAAATTCTGGGCTGGGAATGTGGCTCAGGCGGTAGCGCACTCGCCTGGCATGCGTGCGGCCCGGGTTCGATCCTCAGCACCACATACCAACAAAGATGTTGTGTCCGCCAAGAACTAAAAAATAAATATTAAAAATTCTCTCTCTCTCTCTCTCTCTCTTAAAAAAAAAAAAGTAAAATTCTAAGAATGAGAAAGCAATGTGTGATAAAGTGCAAGAAACCCAGAGCCAATTCTAAAGCAGCTGAGATTCCAGTCCTGTTTTGTTGTTTTTTTGTCTTGTTGGTAGAGGTGGTAGTTGGGGGGTTTTGTTGTTTTGGGGTGGGTTACTGAAAATTGAACCCCAAGACACTTAACCACTGAGCCACATCCCCAGCCTTTTTTACTTTGAGGCAGGGTCTTACTAAATTCCTGAGGCCTCAAACTTAAGATCCTCCTTCCTCAGCCTCCCTAGTTATGGAATTACAAGTGTGTACCACTGAGCCCATCTCCAGCTTCTTAAAAATCACTCAACTCATTGTCTGATCTTCCTTGCTTTTTTCCCCCAGGGCTGAGGACTGAACTCAGGGGAATGCGCATGCTAGGCAAGCCCTCTGCCACTGAACGAAATCCCTAGCTCCTGGTTGTCTGATCATGAGCAAGTCATTTAAGTTCCCTGGAACTGTTTTCACATCTATTAAATAAGGTAGATGGATCTTCATCTACCTTAGCTAAGGACCCTTCCAGCCTACTATAGTATGCAAACAACTTTTCTTTACAACAATGCAGGACAGAGATTATGTGCTAGGCTTTGTAAACAGGGCCTGGAGGAAGAGTTCCAGTTGGGTCATTCATAAATGAGTAGAGTCCCTGAATAGATTAATCAATCCATCCAAGCCCCATCAGAAAACACAAGGGAATTAAAATATATACCTAATCCAAGTGTGGTGGCACATGCCTGTAATCCCAGTAACTTGGAGGCTGAGGCAACAGGATCACAAGTTCAAAACTTGTCTCAGCAGCTAGGTGAGGCCTTTTTTTTTTTTTAAATATTTTTTAGCTGTCAATGGACCTTTTATTTATTTATTCACTCATATGTGGTGCTGAGGATCGAACCCAGTGCCTCACACTTGCTAGGCAAGTGCTCTACCACTGAGCCACAATTCCAGCCCTAGGTGAGGCCTTAATTAAGCATTTTAGCAAAACCCTGTCTCAAAATTAAAAAGGGTGATTAAGTGTCCCTGGGTTTAATCCCCAGTATCAAAACAAACCCAAACCAAACCTCTATAAGGTTTTTGTGATGCTAAGTAAGATAATGTGTGGAGTCATAAAAATAATAATTCTAGAGTTTCTTATTCTCATTCTGTTCACACATGACTGACATTCAAAATAGATGGCCAAAGATCAGAGGTTGGGAGAGAAAGGGAATATATACATTATATTATTACTACTTTTTTTTTTGGTACCAGGGATTTAACCCAGGGGCACTTAACCACCAAGCCACAACTCTTTTTTTTTTTTTTTTTTTAAATACGTTTTATTAGAGAAAGGGTCTTGCTGAGTTGCTTAGGGCCTAAATTGATGAGGCTGGGTTTGAACTCTCCATCCTCCTGCTTCAGCCTCCCAACTCATTGGGATTACAGGAGTGAGCCTCTGTGCCCAGCAAGAAAGGGAATTCTCTGCCCACTAGCAGTCATTGCCTTTCCTGTGGTGACCACCAAGACATTTTAGGATAAACTGCAATCTTCTTGGCTCCAGCTCAGCTTCCCACTTCTGTCTTTGCAAAGAGTGTGACAGAACTCTTCCTACTGGTGTTTGAGTTAAGGGAAAAATTCAGATTCAGGACCAAGATGGCACAAAACTAGCTGGGTGAGATGGCCCATGCCTGTGATCCCAGCAACTCTGGAGCCTGAGGCAGGAGGATGGCACGTGCAAGGCCAGCTGGGAACTTGGGAAGATCCTGTCCCACAAGAAACTTTTTGCTGGGGTTGTAGCTCAGTGGTAGAGCGCTTGCCTCGCATGCATGAGGCACTGGGTTCGATCCTCACCACATAAAAAATAAATAAATAAAGATTTTTAAAAAATCTTTTTCTTTAAAGGGCTAAGGTACAGCGTAGTGGTAGAGTGCTTATCTAGCATGCACGAGACCCAGGGTTCTAGCCCCAGTACCTCAAAAAACAAACAAACAAACAAACAAAAAACACTAGTACACTGGTAGTCACTTGGTATTGGGATTCTTGGTGGTTTATTTTTCCTCTTCTACTTAAATGGTTACACACACACACAAAGCATATATTACTTGTGTGGCAAGCTAAAAACAAGACTCTAAAAACTAAACAAACCTGGCTACTCAGGAGGCAAAGCTAACAAGCATGTTCTTCTATAACTCCTTGATAAAGAAAGAAAGGTGAGTGAAGGGGTCTACTGCCCAGCCCTTCCATTAAGGAGGTCCTGATAAGTTCCAATGACCAGGAAGGTGTCCAAACAGAATAAGAAAAAAATATTAACACGGAGACTCCTCTGGTGGGTTGAAATGGCAGGGCTGGTTTCTTTTTTGTTTTCGTTTCTTTGTGTAGGGGCTGGGAATGGAACTCAGGGCCTGGGGCACACTTGGCAAGGGCTCTACCACTGAAATATGCTCCCAGCCCCAATTCTCCCCCCCCCACACATTTTTTATTGGTGCATTATAATTGTACATAACGATGGTATTTGTTGTTACACACTCGACATGCACACGATATGGCAAGATAATTTGGCCAACATCCCTCCCCAGCACTTCCCCGCTCCCTGCCCTCCTCCCACACCCTGGGCCCTTTCCACTACTGACCCATCGCCCTCCAATTTTCTGGAGATCGCTGCCCCGCCCCCGACCTTTCTTTCCCCCTTTCCTCTGCAGTTCTACATAAGAGAAAACAAACGACTCGACCTCCTGAGTTTGGCTTATTTTGCTAAACACAATGGTGTCTACTTCCATCCATTTTTCGGTAATTTATATAATTTCGTTCTTCTTTATGGCTGAACGCAACTCCGCTGTGTGTGGACACCACGTTTTCTCGACCCCTTCATCTCCGACGGACGCCGCGGCAGGTTCGGCTGCAGTGCGCGGTCCCAGCCCCGGTTCTCGGAGCTTCCAGTGATCCCTGGCTCCAGCGGGAACACAGGCTGCATTTCTAGAGCCCGGGTTGGCGCGCCTGTGGAGAGGGACGAGGAAAACACCTACCTCCCGTCTCACCAGCTCGTCCCAGGGAGTGAGCTGCTGCAGGGGTCCCAGCACGCCCCCCTGCTGCACCCACTTCTGCAGAGATTCCGTGGGAAGGGCCCGGAGGGCACCCAAGGGACCCAGCCACTCAGGGCTTCCCCACGCTTCCCACCCCGGACGCCGGTGCAGTCAGAGCCGCCGCCTCCCCGCCCGGGCTGCTCCGGAGCGCCGCGAGGCGGCGGTCGGCCCCGGAGGCCGCCGTCGCCATGGCAACAACCGCGGCGTCTCAGGCGGCCTGGCCTCCGCCGGCTGACCACAAAGTCCGCGCCGGGGAGGCTGTTGGGTGACCCGGCGGGCGGCCCTCGGGCGAGACGACTCCCGGGCCCGTGGGATTCCCGCCGCCGCGCCCCCTCCCCGGGCCCTTCCGGTGGCCGTCGCCCTTTGACCCCGGAAGTGGGCGGGAGAGGAAACAGCTGGTGATGCTGGAACCAACATGGCCGCCCCTCGGCCCCTTGGCCCCTCGGGCTCCCGCCGTCTTCGGCTGGCCGCGGGCCTCCGGCTGCTCCCGGTCCTGGGGCTGCTGCAGCTGCTGGCCGGGCCCGGCCTGGGCCGCGTCCACCACCTGGCACTCAAAGTAAGGGC